CCCCCCCCCCCCCCCCCCCCCCCTTTTTTTTTTTTTTTTTTTTTTTTTTTTTTTGTGAAAACGTGGGTTTAGGTAACACTTTGGGCCTTTGGTTAAGCTTAAAAACTTGGAAATAATACATAACTCCTACATATAAAAGATATATTTTAAATTTGTTAAATTATTCCAAAATTCTAATATTAATTCCAACTAATAATACATACAATATATAATTAATTGAAATTAATTATCCCCATCCCCACTCACTCCCACCAAATTTAAAATACCTCAATTGGTAATATCTCACCCCACCCAAATGATAAAAGTGCTTTGGAGTTTATTTGTGTAAGGACTGAGCTGTGTGCACAGTGAGTGGGGATGGGGATAATTAATTGTATGGTACACAGCTCGGTTCACAGTCCCCTCACATCGAGGGGGTTGTCAATTAAAAAAATGGGCGCGGGCCCCTTCTACAGTGAGGAGACTGTAAGTGTACAGCATCTTTTGGTATTGTACAAGTAGGTTAACCCTTTGTTTAATGTGGTGGTGGGGTGATAGCATTATTTTAATTACTGTGAGGTGGCAGTAGTGTTGCATTGTAGTTGACGAGATTTGTTACTAACAGTGTTATATATGACCAAATTTATTATTTGTGACCGTACTTGCATTATCTGTGGCTAATTGTGACCAGACCGTCTCTGACCAATTCATTCTAATTTGTAACTCTATGTAATCAAGTCGTTGTCATGTGTTATTTGTAACTAATTGTGAACAAATTTGTATTCAGTGTGACTGTTTGTAGCAAAATCAATCTAATTTGTGACTCACTACTAATCTAGTTACAGACAGTTACAATGAAGACAAAATTGATCACATCCGATCACAATATTTAGTCATAGAGCCCCACCACAAAAAATCCGCACACACTAAACTATTACCACAATTCATAACCACTCACCATCATCACCACCACCACTCTAATGTATCACCACTTCTACCTTCAACTTAAAATTCACAACAACAATCACCATCACTTCCACCAATACATTCAACAAACACCAACCACCATCACCACCACCACCAGTGGCATCAAACCATCATCAGTCAAATTAAAAAAAAGAAAAAAAATGATTTTATCCATCCCAAATCTAAAAGCGAAGAACGCGTGGTGTGTATTCTCTTGTAGTTTCTTCAAGCACTGTTGGACCACCTCTGAACCATCATTCCAACCAGCCGTTCCCCAAATCTATAGTTCCAAGCACCCATCGTCAATCCACCATTCCTTCAACCACCCACCATCTCAACCAATCACTCCATATTTCTGTTGTCGGACCACCATCGGTCCACCATATCATTGCCATCGCACTCTATTACACTCCCGAGCAATACTAGAAGAGGAATTGAAAGAAAAAAGTTAAACAACTTGATAGAAAAATATGAACGATATGAGAAAGTAGGGATGGGGAGTGAAATGCACAGGGTGGTTGGGAAATGAGATTATACGTGATTTTTGAAGAAAAATATTTACTACCCGACTTATGAAATTGAAACTTCAAATCTAGTGTTTAAGGCAATTTCCTTAAAAACTTTACTTTTCTATTCGCGATAAAATCAGAGCCCACAAAATCAACAAGTTTTAACCCCTAATACCTTTTTTCATATATTAATCTTATGCCTATGGTTCCTTTTTCATATATTAATCGACAAGTGCTTATCAATGTAATTTCCCTGGATTTGACCTAAATCTGCTAAGAAGGCTTATAGGATATGAGAGATCACTTCTATTGCTCACCATTGAGTACATAATTGATCCTATGACATTAGCATATGGAACTTTACTCATTAAACCCTTTCTTCTTCATCTTTGGGTGATTGATTACTAATTAGTATGAAGTGTGATGTTAGTAGCACATTTACAGGCTTTGAATCTTTCACCCCAAAGTTATTAACTAATTTTTTTTCTAAGTAATGAGTTCGATAAAGAGTTAGTTTAGATTTAAGTCTGTCTAACAACATCCATGCCTAATATCCTTTTTGCTAAACCAAAATTTTTCATATCAAATTCAGATTTGAGCATAACTTTTGTACTTTTAATTTCGGCCATCTTTGGTTCAATGAGAAGCATATCATCCATAACTTTTGTCGAATAAACTTATGATCTTTCAGGTGTAATTTTACTATCAAATCCGATATAAAACTGTTTAGGAGCTTGCTTAATCCCATAAAGAGATTCTTTTAATAAACAAACTAAACACACGTTTTCCCTTAACTTCAAGATTAGGTGGCTGTGCCATATATATGATTTCATCTAAGTCACCATACAAGGATGCAGTTCTTACATCCATGTGTTCTAAGACCTATTCGCCATGACTTTTGAGAAGTCAAATGACGTTTTTGAGATTTAAAAGCTACTTTTGAATTCATCTGATTATTTTTATGAAAATGCTTTATCTAGTTAGATGAGATTTTGCTTGATTCCTAAATGGTTAATCTAGATATGCACCTTCGTTTATCTTAAACACCCACTTGCAACTAACTACCTTTGTATGTTGTCTTTATTAAAAAGGAGTGCAAGTGATAATTTACATCACTTGTTGTCAAACACATGAAGTTATAGGAATAAGATTTTTTATTCTCAAAATGAACAATGTTAATACAAGTTCTTGCTCTGTTTTTCACATTTACAACGTCTATTTTGAAGTTGAAAGACAACTTGGACTATTATCTATTCTTAATAAACCATTATTATTTTTTAAATATTTTCAACCTCTTTTGTTATGCAAATTTACTTAAAAAGTAACAAGAGCATGTCTCATCAGGCTTAAAAGTTTCATTTAAGTTATTCCTGTTTTACCAAACCTGAGTTTCTTTAAAATTCACATTTTCTTTATAATTTCAATACAAAATCCTATTTTTTTATGGAAAAAAGAAAAGAAAAGTGAATCTCCTGCTTTTATTCATAATTTCATTTTTGCGATCATACATAATTGGCCACAAAAATATGGTTCTTTTTACACATGTACTAAGTTACTTATTTTAAAACTAACTAATTAGCATACACATAAGATCCAACCCAAAAATATTTGAAAATAGAAATTTACTCAAAAGTAATTTTTAAAGAAGGCAATATGAAATCGAACACTTACCATGATAAAATGGATAATGAAGTGTACATGTCTATTTGTTTAAGATAATGTTAAATCAACTTTTTGATGGTCATTTTAGTCGTAATGTATTTGTGACCCAACCTACGTAGTTGAAGTCGAGCATGATTAACAATGTATTCCGTGATGAAGAGAAGTATTCTCGTTGACATAGGTCCTCTTTGTTCTTCTCACTTGGTGTTTTTTAAACAACAATCGACAGTGTTGTCTTTAGAAGACATCATTAGCACACAAAGTCTGTATATCCAAAATTAATCTAATTTTATGATTTTTCCAAATGTGAGAGGTCAATCTTTTGGAGAAATTTTTTGGACGTTGACAAATAGTCAAATGACTATTTTATCTGGGCCATTGTGGCTTCTTCGTAAATACTCTCAAAAGAGAGGGTATGAAACTGGAGATTACAAAAAGTACAAAACGTCGCCGTTTACACAAAAACAACGTTTAACCCCCAACGGCTAGTTCCATCTGACCGTTTTAGGCCACCATAATTCAAACTCTTACGCCATAGCCTCACTCCATCACACACAGGAAAAAGAAAACACTTCTCACTTCAGCTATAAAATCACAGGAATAAATATCACCAAAGAAAAGCAGAAAATTAAAAATCATTCTTCGATCCAGATCTTGATTCAGAGTGGACAAGGAGTAGCAGAAAAGAATTGCGTCAAAGAAAATGGTGTACGCATATACCCCCACATACTACACATCACTGCACGACTCCATAACATCTCTGTGCAAAAGCATCCTTCCATTTTCCTTTAAGAAAAGGCGGCTTCCTGCAATTGCTGCAGCAGAGCAGCAGCTCTCAAAGCAGCAGTCCGATAACCTGAAATGGCAGCAAGATTCATTCCACCAAATACTTAATCTAATGGGTCTTTGTAAAGAGGGCATTCTGTCTGAAACTGAGGTCTCTGCTTTCAGAACACATCTTCTGGAAACTTTAATAGCTTCGTCTATAGATCATGAGCCAACCGTCATTTTAAGGGACAAGCTGATTTTTTTGCAGGTAAATATTGGTATTGATTTGACATATGAATGAAGTTAGTCCTTTATCCCCCACACTTTTTTGAGTTTTTAAAGGGAATCTGATTTTTCTTTTCGTTTTTTGCTTCCCGTTTGACCTCATAAAGTAATTTCTCAAGATTAATTTAGTGGGCCTTTCAACTAAGCTGTCAAATATTCAATGGTGTATGGATGTATATTAACTGTATGGCAGAGTATATGGCATGAACCGGATTTAATTCATATATTAAGTTCCTTTTGTGGTTGAAGCTCCAAAATTTATTTCATTTATGTTTGTGCAAATATCAAAATTAAAGGCAATTATGTGGCTTTCTTGCAGGAGTTGTTCTATGCCAAATGCATTTCAGAGGATGAGTATCATGCTTCGAAAAGACCATTGTTACAGAGGTTAGCAATTCAAGGAGCCGAGATTGAAGCACGAGATGTCATAGTGGGGACACAGAAAGAGGCTTCAAATGAAGAGTGGTCGGTTATAGATTTGAAGGATGAGAAATGCTTGGTTAGTCAAGAGTACCTAATGTCAAAGAATAAACCGAAACCGGGTTCAACAGTAAAGCAAATTAAAGGAGCTGCATCTGCATTTGGCTTTATATCACCCATTAAAAATTGCAAGTTGAAGGAAGAAAAGAATGATAACAATTTGAGACCAATGCCATTTGATCAAAACGTAAGCACCTCAAGCTTTTTAAGGAATGAAGTTGGGCTTTCTACCGGAAATCGTTTCTGGAATAGTAATTTGAATGAAAAAGAGAGTGAAACAAAGTCTATTCTCATGGCAGAGAGCTTGCCAGCAGATTCTGTAAAGATTGACAAGCGAAGTAGTGGCGATAAATCCAAAAGGAAACCTTTTAAAACCCTGTTTCAGAGAGAGGGACGGGGGAATGGTGGTGATGATCATGGTCCAGAACATGAGGAAAAAGAAAAGATGAAATCAGGAAAGAAGCAATGGGGATTTGATGGATTCAAGAAATGGAAGAAAACTGATTCCGAGGATGAAACAGTTCCATTGTCCCTCGGTGAAAAATCGGATGGTGAAAGTTACACTGGCAGGCTCATCATGAACCGAGCGGCAGAGGGACCAGACACCAAGCAAATTAAGAGGAAATTGCATCCTGATGGTGCACCTACAGATTTCTTTGTCGATAAGGTAATAACATTCTAATATCTTGAAATATGTCTTGTTGAATTTTGTTACAGCTGTTTTCTTGACTAGATTCTAATGGAGCTTGTAACTTATCTGTTTACTGCTGCTTTTCTGCTTTCATGACAATTGTAGGTTTTAGGAGAGAACATAAAGAAGGAGCTGTCACGAATCCAAACAGAGCTTGGTGCCAAAAATCAAACTTTTGATTTGTCGTAAGTGTTTCTTTTATTTTCAGCTCTCTTGATCTTCGGCGGATAGCAGGAATCGAACCCGCATCTTCTCGTTGGCAAAGAGAAATTTTACCATTCGACCATATCCGCAATTTTTGTTCTTAATACACATATCCACACACACACACACACACACACACACACGATCCATACCTGGATCGTATTTGTGCAGTGTCGGGCTAGAGACTCTTCTGGGCGATTTATATTATTAATATAATAAATTGAAATTGAGCCTATCCTCTCTTATTTATTCATATTAAAAAAAACTTAATCTAATGCAAAACCAAAATACTCGGAGGACTCTTCTGACAAAATAAAAAATATGTAAT